AAAATTAGTCACAGTAGCTATAAAAGGCTCTGATTAGAAGATAAGAGATCAAGATCAGGGATAAATAGAGGCAAAGACTACACAGTGAGAATTGGTCGAATGTGGTCCCAGGAATAAGTACTTTGAGTTAACCACTATGACAGGTCTGTGCAAGAGAAAGAGAGGAGATAATGTTAGAAATGATTAAATATTTTATTATAGTCCTCAAATAATCTGTAAGAAAGTCCTTTTCCCTTTTCTAAAATCCCATTCTCTCAGGTATTTTCAATTCAATACAATCAAGTAACTACTGATGGAACGTAGAGAGGTTTATGTGTCTGATATTTGGAAGCAATTCAATATTTATTACAAAATAGATACATTCATGATACCTACTGAGCTATGACACATGAATAAATGCAAACGAGAAAAACAGATCTTTGCATTAGCTGCCCAAAACTCCCTCGGATCTGATAAAACAGGCATGCAAGAGTGAGGATGTTTCCAATAGGAAGCAGTATCTTGAGAGTGGTGTTTCAGGATTAGCGTAGTGGTGTCATGTTAGATAACCAGGGTACAGAAAGGAGTATGGAGGCTGAATAGATCCTTGTAAAGTTTTGCCTTAAGAAAATGATATCTCTTATTCTTAGAAAGTGAAGTGCATAAACAGACAGATAGACCAATCATATTTTCAATTAGTGAGTGCTACACTGTCTCTTTGGTGATACATGGTAGTTTATATTTTACTTCACAATGCTCTGCTACTGATCTGTAACGTATGTCTCTGCCATTTAAGGGAACTGAAGAGTCTCCAGAAGTGGACTTTGGTATTGATCCCCAAATCTTGTTTTAAATAATCCTTTAAAAACATCTACACATTGTCTGAGAAAATCAGTTACTCAGGGGCTTAAATATATGCTTCTACAAATAATGTTCTCATCACAATTAGAGATAAAGATAAGTGTTGTAAATTAAATGCAATATATACAATTGCTTTTATAACACTCTATACTGCCAGCAGGAATAATGGAATAAACATTTGAAGTCATTCTCCCACTAGTCTAAGATATTCCCAGAAAAAATGGACTGTACTCTAACCATTCTTCCTAGGTTTGTACTCTGAATTTTACATTATCATTTAATAAAAATACCAGTATCTCCAAAAAAATTTTTTAAAAACACTTGGGTCTTCTTTCTTCCACCTGAAGTACCATTTTGGCATGTGGTTTGTCAAAAAGGGCACAAATCTAATATTCTAAAACCTTGAAAAGCAAGCAGACTTTATTGAATGGCTTTTAAGAGGCTGAGGGGGTAATTACATCCAACATCACTAAGGAAATCCACTAATAATACTTTATCGACATCTTTGTCCTTAACATTCAACTTATCATGGACGGCAGCCACTCTCTCAAAGCTATTTTCCCTATTCCTTTCAAGACACAGTCTGCCTGTCACTCCTTCCCAATCCTCATCTGCCTTCCATTGGCCTTCTCCCCTTGTGACACCGTCTTTTCAGGGAGTTCTGTTGCCCCATGTTAGGAAAATCAATTTTCCTCTTTGCTTCTTACAATTCTCTGCTCCACACATCACAAGATGAGCCAACACAGAAAACAAATACTCTCTTCAGGAGACTGGAAGAAAAAAAAACTGAATACTTAACACATTGACTGCCACACTAGAAAAAAAATTGTTTTCCTTGGGGCCATGACATTTTATTATGAAAATAGAATAAAACCTTCAAAAACAAAATGATCCTTTCTAATTTAATGAAAAATTTGTTATTTTTTATGGTTTTCTGTGTTTTTTTCAGTAAAAAGTAATATAAAAACTTGAAAATTAGTAATGTAAACCGTAATGTGAAAACCTGAAAAATAGTTCACATGGGTAAAGTGTTTTTCTTGACTTGTCAGGCTTAAGTGTAATTTAAAGGTAAACATAAATAGAAAAATAAAATTTATTGACTTCTATTCATTTAATCCATGTTTTTAGAATTAAATTGTTTATATTAATTGTAACAATAAGTACATCAACAAGTGAGATTTTTACAAACTAACTGCAGGGTTTTGCCTGGGGGCCACCCATCACATAACACGTATGCAACAGCATGGCAGCGTGAGTTGCCTGCACACCACTCAGCTCCCAAGGTAAAGAGATGTGTGAGTTATATATGCTTCACGAGGCCCCGGCCTCAAAACTAGCCTGAGTTAAATACAACTCACATGGCAGTTAATGTGTTAAAACACTTTTGAATGCTCACACACATAAGCATATTAGAAAAAAAAAAAAAGACCGTAGCTCAAGTTTCTTCATGTCATAATTCCTTTTTCCAGGTTGCATCCAATCATAATTTTTCAGGGGGAACACATCAATTCTTCCAAGTCTATAAGTTTTAATGCAACATTAAGACTAAATTTGAATTGCAAAATTGCGTGAGTAACCAAAATCACTGATTTAACAAAGCTAGGAATTTGGACATTTTATACTACGAGAGAACATGCATGAGTTACTCCTTATTTTTCAGTTTTAACGTTACTTTCATCATCCTCTAGTTAAAAACTTGACAGTTAAAAATATTAAATTAATTATAATCTTACCATTGTTGTCTCTTGAATTGATCCAAAACTGTTAATAAAAATGTTGACTACTACATCAACAGGAATGCCTATGAATAAAAATTAAATATATATTTACTAGCTGTAAAAATAATCTTGGTCAGAATCTTCATATTTTTATGGTTTAAACATTTAATTTTTATTTTTCTAATCCACATAGAACACAAAATCCATGGTCTCAGTTTAACCTGCTCACAATTGCTATTAATTTATTTTTCTAAATA